TCTGTCACCCAGGACCCAGGCTGGAGTGTAGTGGCATGATCATAGCTCACTGTAGCCTTAACATCGTGGGCTCAGGTAATCTTCCTGCTTTAGTCTCCTGAATAGCTGAGACTATAGGTGTGCATCTCCAGGCCTAGGTAATTTTTTTTTTTTTGAGAGACAGGTTTCACTATTTTGCCCAGGATGGTCTGGGACTCCTGGCCTCAAGCAGTCTTCTTGCCTTGACCTCCCAACGTGCTGAGATTACAGGCATGGGTTGCCACACCTGGCTGTGATACCAGTTTATAATAATAGCAGATTCTTTTGTTTGTATGGGTTTTTGTTGTTGTTTTGGTCTCTGAGTAGCTTCCCAAGTCACGTGCGCCACGTACTAATTGCTCTTTCCCAGAATGCCTAGATCCTTAACCTTTGCCTATGTTTTTCTTAGACGCTTTTTTTTTCCTTTTTTTTTCTTTTTGAGACGGAATCTCACTCTGTTGCCCAGGCTGGAGTGCAGTGGCATGATCTCAGTTCACTACAGCCTCTGCCTCCCGGGTTCAAGTGATTCTCCTGCCTCAGCCTCCCAAGTAGTTGGAACTACAGTGACACACCACCATGCCCGGCTAATTTTAGTATTTTTAGTAGAGACGGGGCTTCACCATGTTGGCCAGGCTGGTCTCGAACTCCTGACCTCAGGGGATCCACTTGCTTTGGCCTCCCAGCATGCTGGGATTATAGGCATGAGCCACTGCGCCCAGCCTTTCTTAGATTCTTGATCAATCATTCCAGCTGGGACCTCCTGGATCCTTCTAAATACTCAGAAACAAGCATGTTGGTTATGTTACAGGCCAATAGGAAAATGTTGTCTTCTGACATCCAACTTTGTGCTTTGGAATTTAGGGATATAAAGATGTTTTTGCTTCTGCTTTGCATGTTAGAATTTTGTGGTTGGTAGTGAATTTTTGAATATACTTTTATTTTTGAATTGTCTCCAGAATTACTTGGTAAGTTTTCTGCAATTAAAGAAAAAGCCTAATGTTAAATGTTATTTTAAAAGGGTTGATGCAACATTGAGGATTCCAAGGTTCTACCACCATTCCTAATTGAGAGAATGGTAGTTTCCTGTGGAAGGAAACTTCCTATGAAAGTCATATAGTAATGGCATTTATTCTAAGAGTGGATATGGTAGGTGAGAACTACAGAGTTGAAGGGAATCTGGAGGGTCATTCCAGGCTACTTAGCTTCCAGAAATCACATCAATGGATAACACCAAAGAATCACACTGTTTTTCCAAGTAGAGAGTAAATGATTATATATTTGGGTCAAAAAACTGAAGTTTGGTTATCAGTGAATATAGTAATCACAGAACAAAACAACACTTTGTTGTGAGTTAGTAATATAAACTAACACAGTAGTATAAACCTACCCAAGAGGGAGGGGGTTTGCCCTGTTTGGTTTATTATTTTGGGTTCAGTTGGTAGAGAATAGAATCCATTCTAGCTAAACAAAAATAAATTTATTTTGGGCCAGGTGTGGTGACTCATGCCTGTAATCCCAGCACTTTGAGAGGCTGACGCAGGAGGACTGCTTAAGGCCAGGAGTTCGAGACCAGCCTGGACAGCATGGTGAGAGTCCTAGCTATCTTTTTTTTTTTTTTTTGAGACATAGTCTTGCTCTGTTGCCCAGGCTGGAGTGTGGTGGCGCAATCTTGGCTCACTGCAACCTCCGCTTCCCAGGCTCAAACTATTCTCCTACCTCAGCCTCCTGAGTAGCTGGGATTACAGGCATGTGTCACCACGCCCGGTTAATTTATTTTGTAATTTTAGTAGAGATAGGGTTTTGCCATGTTGGCCAGGCTGGTCTC